ATACGTATCGCGTTGGATATCGTATAATACGCGGGCTAGCCTCGGATAGTAAGAATGGAACGCGATTTCAGCTAGGATAGGAATTGGTATCCATTCAGGCAGGACAATACGAAGAAGGACGCACAAAAGTCCGAGCAATGCCATAGATCAAGAATCGAACACGGATGGCTCGTAGATCAAGGATTTCCTTAATTTCGCGAGGCAACGGTGAAATGTTGATTTAGAGGGCTTGCGCCAACGGTGCTTGCACGCACGCCCATGCCCACGAGGAAGTACTGTTACCAACAGAGAGAGAGAGAGAGAGAGAGAGAGAGAGAGAGAGAAAGATAGAGAGAGACCTCTATTAATTCTCTGTGCGGCGAAAAGCTAGCCGGGTGAACAGAATCGAATCCCGGCTTGGTTGGTCGCTTCCAGACCTCACGGTGCATCGGTGCACACGTGGTGTCCATAAGCTTGGGTTTGGCTTACGCTCCACGATGGGAAATATGGGTCACCACACAGCTGACACGCGACCATTCTATACCTGTGACCTCTTTACTCCACTACTTTTTTCTATTACACCCTCCTCGAATAGCTGAGAATTTTTAATTCCTTGTAGATTCAACAGGAGTAGATCTAGGAAGGACGAATGTAGAATAACTATGCTTCACTTAGAGAAATATTGGAAATTATTCCTCGAATAATTTCCTTTCCAATCTTCACATAATTTATACCATTTTTGGATTCACATGCATGCTCGTAGATTATTCCATGCTTTACGTGTACTCATTAGACATAACTGAGTTATGGCTATCATTGCGTGCACCATGATACAGGACATTTGTCACCGACTCTCGTTCCTTGTACATTACTCTTGTTTTCTAACACGCACAATTTTCTAAATGGATGTCCAGAGTATTCTAATGAATTAAACGTACATACCCATTGCGTCGGTAACCTAGTTAGCATATCGTTTGTAAAATCTGCTGACAGCAGATTTCATAATAGTAATTACCATGCCGATTTTATCGTGATTAGTATAATATGGAAACATTGGGTTACATAGAAATTTTAGAATTTAACAAATTTTTAATACGTGAATTGAAATTCAATTGGGATTTATTTGAATCAGTAGCTGCTACTTTGTTCGGTAATCTTCTTCCATCTCGTTTCCAATTTACGAATATCATGTTTGGAAAACGATTTACTGTCAGAGCTGAGAACATGAAGCAACTTGCTTTTCTACATCGTTAAAAGTTTTCAAGCTCTTACGAGTCACTGAATTTTACAGTAATTTAAAAGATGGATGTGTTATGGAATTTCTATTTTAATTGTATGAATAATTTTTGTTAATTTCCTTTTTGTAACTTTTTTCTGGATGAAAAATTCTCGTGGCATGATTCAAAATCGAACCGACGAATCACACAAAGGAAAGAGAGTTGAGGCCAATCAGCGCTTAATTCTCGCATTTGTATTCGGTCGCTGATCTCATCCTTTCTTTTCCCCAGCGTGATTCTTGTTCCATTTCTCACGGTCGGTAATAAACAGTTACCTTTGGTTCTCCATCGGGATCTGAACCAGATTGACTCCCGTTGGAACATTTAGTTAATCGCTTCCGGTGAAAGAATTTTTCTACGAACCCAGGATGTTACAAAGAAGAAATCAACCATTGGTTTAACCATGAAAAACGAACCATGAGTTACCAATGGATTGGTAACTGAACTATAGAAAAACTAATAATTTTCTAACGATCAATGGAAATAAATGATGTCCAATATTTTGATGAATTTCTAATCTAAATTACCATTAATTACCATTCACGCAATAAATAATTGTTTTAAAATACACACGTTCCAGTTTTAATTCATTTTTGAATAAAAAAAAAAGATCTCTTCGTTTTGAATCTTCATCAATTTATTTGTCGTTAGGAAATAAAACGAATTAACGATTGATAGGCTACTTCAATTAACCCAGCCACGTTTGGAATGGAGGACACCTTTCCATGATGCATTCAACCAACGATGGCTGGTCTCACGATTCGTAACAATGCCACGGAATCGAAAGTGTATTGTGGAACGCATAATAGGAGCACTTTGTGATAAATTGATCGTTCTACTGGCAAGAACGTTCTCTCGTATGAGCACCATGAATGCTTGTTCTATCGCGAAAAATTGTCTCTGCCAATGGGTACGAGCGAGCCTTTGACCGTTTGCAATCAACCAACGACCGACAAATTTCCGATTCTATTATGAAGAATCAACAATTTAAAATATTGAACGGGGACATTTCGCTCGGTCAGTCGATTATCAATCTGACCCGGTACGATTTTTTAAATAAAAAACAAATAGTCATCGCGTTTTAACGTGAAAATAATGAAACGACTTCCTCTGAATTAATGGTAAACATTACAATATTTTACAATTTTCACTGATTCTTCCGGTGAAATAGTATAAATCGCGTTCGATAAATTTTTCACTGGTCCGGAATTCTCTGAAACGTCGACCTGGTGTATGACGAGTTGAAGCTCTCGTTTGAAAAAATAATACAATGTAAAGAGTAATTAAGCTTCACCGTGTTTGTCAAATAAAATATTTCAGAGAACAGAATGGTGAAAAACTGGTTCTGGAAACCTTTCCACCTGGTATGAAACAATTCAGTGATATGCTTTACTGTTTTTTAGTTAATTATTATCATGGTTTGTTAAAACGTAATTGTACTATACGTTTCAAATTTTTTTTTTTCGCTCATGTAAAATAATAGTAATAAAATGTGATTTAATAAAATTAATTAAAGTGTGATCTAATTTTTATTACTCTTATGGTTTCAAAAATTGCATATTACTAAATATCAATGAAACATAGATCAAGCATATCAGGGTAATACAAAAATGAAAAAATAATATAAAACAAGATCAATGTCACAAATATTATCAGAAAACGAAAGGGTTAACACCCTTATCCCCATCTTCAAGAATAGGGGCGGCTATCAATTACATTGTACATACAATCAAAGAAACATTGTATCAGACATTCTTTTCTTCCAAATACAATCAACATGGAATCCGTCTTCTATTCTTCTACCTCCCTTCTGTCTGCCATACTATCTTCGATACGTTTATTGTTGAACAAAAATACGAGTGAATTCTAGCGACGGAAAAAAGCATCAGAGATCGCGTGTTTCTCGAATTTTCCCATGTCAGTTTTTATTTCGTCAATCCTGTGACAAACGAAAGAGCGTAGGTTAGGTATACGCGAACCGGCATTGATAGCGCGACCGGGCTCAACTGTAAATCGTCGTGATTTAGGGGATGAACGACATATTGGCCAATGCATAGCTCAAACTGCGCTATGGCCCATGGTATACTACCAACGTTGGCTTCTACGACGGCAGCAACGGCAACGCGATGCATGATGCATTGTCCCTAGACGAGCGTAGATAACGCCGGAATTGCCGTTGCTATGTTCATCCTCGGATTTTCTCGATATTCTGGAGGCGGTCCTTTGCCGATCATGTTCGCTGTTGGCTACCGTCTATCACGCAACCGCATCTAATCGCGAAGACGAATGTCGACAATTCGGTAGGCAAAGGCATTCTGCGAAAGCAACGATAGGAATATGAGTGAGATAAGGATTTTCCTTTCCTTTACAATTTAAAAAAAGATCTCTTCAAATAACCTCAAGGGAGTTAATATTTGAATTTCTATAGGAATCCATTGCTCATAATTAACCCTTCATTAGGAATTTTTTTAATTACCTAATTAAAAATATTCATATTATGGCCTTGGAATTTTGAATAATAAAAATAACGAAATGTTACGAAAATATGTGTTAGATAAAATTTGCTTCTGGAATATCTTGATAAAGTGGTTTCTATCGTTAATCAAATGAAATTTTAGATGAAAATCATATCGCAATTAACAAATATCGCTGTGATTATCAATATTCTGTTCTCACTTGTTCAACGGTGTTCACATAGAATCAGTTAAATGGAACAACTCTAAATGCGTTTAGAGGTACGTTTGACTGATGCTAGTTTCAGCCGCATAATTTCAGCGCTCGATTCTATATGCATGCAACGCGAGTAATCAGTGAATTTCCATTACGAGTATTCAATTTTACCTATAAATTTCTATAAACGCGATATAATGAATTGTCAGAGAAGACTGATCACCGATTTAATTAAACACGAACAGTTCAGAAGTCGTCGGGTCAACTGTACAAAATTTATCGAGCTTCATCAATTTTAATCTTTGAACCGTGATGATCGGGTCAATCACGACCGAAATCTATCGAATCCTGCATCCAACTAAAATCAGACACTCAAATTTCTAAACGAAACATATTCTTTAAATTAAAATTCTAAATCAAAGTTAATTAACTATAGCTTTTTTTCATTATCTTCTTTTATTTCATTTCGCATCACCTCTGCAAATTGAACTTAATATCTTTAACACTTTAATTTGCAGAATGTCGAATGTACTTATTTGACTTCAATTATATCGTGGTAACAATGATGGATAATGTCTCTATAAATCACAAAGCTGCTCAGAAACAATGGAATCACTCGATCAGCCAATGATACGATTTGCGTAGACGCAACATTTGTTCCCCTGCAACGGTGCATTCATACGTGGAAGCGATTTAATTAAGTAGTCGAGCAATGTCACACGTTGGTTGATACCTGGTTCGAACTCCGTTGTAGTTAACGTGCGATACCTGCATACACGTATGCACAATACCGACAGATACAAATTGCAGCTGATACCAATGCATTTCGTTTGTACGTTTCCTGCAACCCTTTGTCCATCACGATCAATTTCCTTGTTATTTTAACTACTATTCTGAAATTTTAATTAGTGACACTTTTATGTAATAAAATTACGCCAGACTTGTGACATATCAAATATGACTAGTGGATTTAATTCTAATTAAGATAATTTCTATTTGAATTTATGAATTAATTAAACTAACTGGTTTCTTTTAAAGAATGTTTTCTAACAGTTTCACTTGTATCTTTTTCAGAACACTACCACATATTTGTTGGAGATCTGAGCCCGGAGATCGAGACGCAGACTTTAAGGGAAGCCTTCGCTCCTTTCGGCGAAATCTCGTAAGTCCTCTTAATCTCGCTCATTAAAGACGACTTACCCTCCTCTTGGTGGTATACGAGTGATAATATAACTGTATAACGTGAACACTGACGTAACATTACGCGAACAGTATGTAATGTTACTTAACCGTGCCAGGGTTCTATGACCTTTCATTCAAATGAATCTTAAATTACTTTCATTTACACATTTCAGCGCAGATGAAATATTTTATTTAATTAAAATAGGTATAGCAATGATTGCTGTTAAATTATTTTAATTCAGTTTAATGAAAGAAAAAATGATAGTAGTACTTGGATACTTGATTTTATTAAGCAATATCGATTTCGAGGGTATATTGTACGTTAAACGACCCCTAAGTTGTCCTTCACGTTGCTAACTTTTACGAGTCCTTAACATTCAACGTTTCACGATGCATCGAAGCGAACTATAATAATGTTTATCATCCCATCATCCGTGATCTACCTAACTTACAAAGCTTGGATATCTTGAGCTCGTCTCGACTCGTGGGTCGATAAAGGGAAGACGATAATATTCTGAGAGTCGACCGCTTTCAAAGTCGGCCATCGATATCGGAAGATGAATTCACACAAATATGACTTCCTGATGAATCGTATCAATAAATCGATGCGCTATATCGATTTATTACCGATTGAAAATTGAAACATCTCTGATAGAAATCTCGGTACCGTTTTATTTTTAGTAACATTTGATAATTCATCTGCAGATATTCCCAATTAGAAACGTCATTTCCCAAAAAATCACAAAAAATTTTTGAAATGGTAAAAATATAGAAGTGGAAGAGTATCAAATTTTGCAAAGAAATAATGTTATTTTTCAATGATATTTTATGTGTTAACTACTTCAAAAATATGAAATTTCCATATGTAAGACATTTAATTAATTCATAAATGGACCTTTAATTTATCAAACAATTTTGAGGTAGTTTAACATTTTGATTCTCATGCAAAATCAGTCAATGGAACTTCCATTAGACAATAATTTTATTTCCAACAAATTTAATATACACAGGCTCGAGGAGGTTATTCAAACATCGTTGCATTTGAAATTTAAATGTATACAAATTACACAATATAATTATTACACGTATAATGGGGGTATATATGATTACATACAATATTCAGATGTAAGCAGAATTAAATAACATATGCTGGCAATTCATTGAGGCCAATATTACAGCAAAATTAATGCATTTTATGGAAAATCCGCTATAAAGTGAACCAGCTTTATATTAACACTTTAGCAACCATATAATTCATTTTCTGAATGACTAATCATTTCCAAATTAAATTTATTATATTAATTTTTAATTTATTATTAATGAAATCAGCACGAAAAAGATCTTTAGTGATTTTAGCGTGGTAGCTAAGGTATTAATGATGCGATAATTGTATTATTTAATCAATATAATACCATTGCAATTACTATGTTGTATAATTTGTATAATATGCTTAAACTTCAACAATAGTCTGTTCAAATAATTCTAATAACCATTAAATTATTTTGATAACATTTAATTGCATCTTCAGATACTTAGTAGTACCATTTATAATTAGACAAATAGGATCATTAAATAAGGACGGCGCGGCAATTAATATTAGTCCCGAACGACAGTCGTTTCCTGATATTTAATAGCTTGAAGAGAAAAAAAAAAAGGAAAAATATACGAGCCGTACGTTGTTATGAACAACCATATGTAAAATCTAAATGGCAGTCTCGATGTCACGCGTATTTGTAATTTATTATCACGGGATGAAATGCTTTTTTTCCGTCTCTCTCCCTCGTGCAACTGTTTAAATATTCAGCAGGCTTTCATTGGTAAAATCCTATTTGTCGAAGTGTGTATTTTGTTATCGCGCCTGCATGAAATATTATATTCAACTAGAAGCCGGGATTTCGAGTCTGAATCGTAAATGATATCAACTGTTCGCTGATATTTCAACATCGAAATGACGGGCTAGTATTGATCGAAACGTTTACGTTTTAAATACACGAGAAAAGGCAAAATTTTCCGTGTATAATCCGTGTGTAGCTTTTTAACACTGGTGTGGCCATCGCCGAAATAGTTGTTACACGAACGATTCACAGTATGTAGAACAAAACAGTTTATTATTGCAATGGTTGCTATATTTGTAATGTGTGCGTATCAAAAGAAATTTGTACCATTGAAAAAAGCAAATAATAGAGGAAATTTTTGAGCGTCGGTATACAAAAGCCTGGTCGTGGAACAGGGTTTTTCTATGCGCGCAACGTATCACCGTCAAAAACGGAGGGAAAGTAAGTGGTGGATCGTTTAAACCCGGACGTTTCTCGGCGCTCTTAATCTCCGAAATCTCCGCGTATCGAGCAAAGCATTCGTTTGACAGGAAAATCCAGCGGTAAGTTCCAGGATCTCGGAGTTCGATCTAAAATCCGAACTTAGTGTGACATTCGCGTTTGCCGACGAAACAGCTGAAAGTAGGTACAGTTCGCATCGCTTGGCACAAGGAGACGGCAGAAAAATGGTACCATCGCCACCCCTCCCCGTTCCTCCTCCCTGCTCCTGGAAAAATCGATTCAAACTCGCTCTACGAGTACCTAAGCCACGGTTAAAAAAGCTAGTGAAAAATTGCCAGCGGTTTTCCCCTTTTATTTTGTTTTCCTCGACGCCACCCGTACGCCTCCTCAACCCCTGAACCGACCTACCCTCGCCTCCTGCGGCCTTCTTGCCTCTCTCTATGCACCCACCGCCATCGAATTCCTTTTTCTCTGCTAACGGTGCACGCTTTTCCTTGACCAGCCTCAGTCGAAAACGCTTTTCTTACGGTACACGTGGTAGTAAACGCTTCTGATTAATTAGAGAGGGTGAAATGGGTAATGATGGTCATTTAAGCATTTAATTGTAATAAAATTAAAGTATGACAGCTAATATATACTGTTAGTTGCGAAATTGTAACGAAATTTGATTTGCGTATATTTAAAATATTATTTCATAACGTTGAAAAAAATTTGATAAAAGAATGGGAAAGGGTAATGTTACAGAAACTGGAGGGTGAAAAGAATGATAGAGGGATGTTACTTCATCGTTTGTCGTTACGTATCACTCCCTTGAATGCCATTTTATGGTCGTTCCACGCTTGTTACCATCGCGAAAGTTAGCGACGATGTATCCAATTAATATTGTCCCGTTGCCAAGAAAGTTACGCGCTTGTTCAGGTGGAAAGATTCACTGAAACTATACTATAGTTATGCAACTTAGATCACGCCTTTCATTCGCTGTTTAATTAATATAACGAGTTCAATCTGTAACCGACTTCTTGTAATTTGTGTTCGATTCGTAACATAAACATCTTTTAGAAATTGTTTTCAATTTAATTGCAATGTAATTAGAGTTCTGAAAGAAACATAATAATATACAAATTTCATAATAATTTGCACTTCTCGATTAAGTTTCCCAAGGTTTATCTTATCATAGAAAATTATTTAATATAAAATTGTGTAATATTGCAAATTTGCAATCTTGCGTTCTGTATAATTTTATTGCGAATGAAAGGTGTAGTTCCGCAACATTCTCCCCGATAATTGTTATTGAAATTCATAGCTTGTATTTTATTCCAGCGTTACGAAGCAAACTGTAAAATAAGATGCAAATAAGTTTGAGATCGAGTTATCATCCCTAGTTACATCGGTATTATTTATCCGCGGTACCGTAGAGTAACTCGACTTGTGCTCGTCTGGCAGTGGTCTCCGTGTTGAAACGACTCCCCGGAGGGTGGTGGGTATATTAAAATTCCTGAAACTTTTTAATCTTTCCGGCGCGGTTAAATATTAATAACGAAATCTCGCGCAGGTCAATGTGTTTCGTGGTTGCTCAAGGGACACGTCGGCCATTGCTCGTTATACTTTTCCGCGACCTCACGAGACCGTATCGACGTCACGTGCCTTCCTTCCGGTTTCTGTCTCCTTATTTTCCGCGTATACGACGCGGCCGAGTTGGCGAAGTAGCATGTTGGAAAGGCTAATCACAGCCAAGAAGGAAACTGACGCTAACGACCCCGTCGTGTATTATAAGTTAGAATCCGGTGTAGGTATAAGTCGAAGAGGAAAACACGGATAGAAGGAGAGAGAGAAGAATGATATTTGTCGGCTTTCCGCGTTGGTATTTGTCTATGCATCGGATGGTGCTGGCAACCGCAAGGTACAGTTATACGTATTAGTCGGTCCCACGTAACGGCGAAGGGTGGTTAAGGGTGAAGAGCGAGAGGAGTAAAGCTTACTTAGCCGCCATTTAAACCTGAAAGCGAGCTTTGCTTCTCCCGGCCTGAGATCAAGCTGCGATATTAACGGCCTAACGCTGTACCGGATTGCCCAAAATACACGGCCCTCGACCAACTATCCGAGCTCGTTTCGACCCCCTTTCTATACCCTACCTTCGCTTTCGTGTAATTGATGTACGTGTTAATTGAAACGCGGTTTAACTGCAACGCCTTACCTCCTAACTTTAACAGTTAACGAAGTTATGTTTGGCTGCTCTGAATTTAGCGAACCTAACATGTCTGATTCTTTCTCTTCGTCATTGACATCGTTCACTATCTTCCTGGCTGATTTTGAAACATGAGAAGTCTAACATCATTTCATCACACAAAAGTACCATAAAATGGCAATTATGGTATATTGTTTCGAAAATTTGAAATACCATGAAAACGACTCCACTTATGTAGCCTTTTATACAAAAGGCTGATGGTCTTTTAATATAATTGCTTGCTGAATAAAAAGTCTAATATAATTTCATGACATAAAAGTACCGTCAGGTGAAATTTATGGTACATTAATTTGAAGCTTAAAGTGTGATGAAAAAAAATCAGCCATGTGCAGCTGACATTAGTGCTCTTAATAAAAAATAGCGTCTTTCCATTACGTGGCAAGAAATATCCAAAAAATTAATTCTATCAACAGCGTTTAAGTAACACAGTTCGATTTTTCTCTCCACTCTCGGAACAAT